TTAAGTACCTGTGTTACGGCTAGGGTTGCCATTTTAAATCTGATGGAATAAGTAAGCTCCACAGGGACCCCGATGACAAAATCTGCCGATCCGGATCCTAAGATATGGCACAAATCGGGATGCGGCATTTTATTTGCACTGTAGGGCTCGAGGCAGCTCTAGCTTCAGATTTTTGAGGACGTACTTTTAAAATCGTGAGTAGGGTCGTGTTGCTGTTTGGACTCGGTTTTTTTTCCGCAGTGGGCGAGCCGAACTCAAGTCATGTGAGGCCAATGTCACGTCACCGGCCTTATTTAACACACCCTACCACGCACTCCACCACGCCAGCCTTAGAAAAACGTGGTTGGCGTTTGCATATACTGCTTCTGTACAGGCCGGCTGTATTATCGCTCCCCTACCCTGCCATTCTAATGAGTTTGAAATTCAATTTGGAAAGCGATTCACCCGGGGGGGTGGGGGATGCCTCCACCGCCCGGCTCTTCATTACCTTGCAGTTAATTCGAATAAAGCGCCGAGGCGCTCCGGTTCAGCCTCGCGTTCCTCGCGCGTGCAGCCTCGTAACGGTTTTTTCCCCCGCCACCCCCGCGTGCACGCAGCCGATAGCATCTGGCACAGGCGGGCTCTCCGGGGAGCACGGTAATCTGTTCCATCAGCGTTTACTACCGAACAAATTAACTAAGACAAGCACTGCCGCGCCTGAGCCAGCGAAATTCTTCCATTAGGAAAATTATAAAGCCATTATGGAGTACAATTTGGCCCTTCATGCAAACCGGGGGCTTCTTGCAAGTAAGGCCTTGAGGAGAGAGGGAGCGGGGAAGAGGCGTGTTTCTCGGCTGTGGGTACGAACGCCCCCCTACTCCGAATCTGGTGGGATGTAACGGGAATATGTCCCACAGCGTGTGGGGAAGGATAAATTTGTCTTTTATTTACTTTACGTTTTGTTCCTTGTCCAGTCTATTTCTGTACTGAGGTGCTTTCATTTGTGCCAATCAGGAGTGCTATGCTTTGGATAACGGTATGTATGGTTGTGAAGCTTTCACTGGTTTTTCTTAGGTGCAGGGCAGGTTTTGAAATTTCAAAAACAATAACTTGGAAAAGCAGATTCAGTGGAAACATTACGGGATTTCTTTGCTTTATCTGCTTTTTAGAAGAAAGTAGTGTGCCAGCGGTTTTTAACCTTATTTCAGTTTGTCTTTTTAAATGTATCCATGGAGTAGTTATGAGTCATTACTTATTACTATTTAAAATGACAGTCCTGATAAATCATTTGCAAAAATAAGTGTGCAAGTGCAGCCCACTTTGTGTGGTCCGTGCTGGCCCAGAAAGGCAGGCAGAAGTATGGCCTTCACCACCGAAGCCAGGTTGGGACCGATTTAACGGAGCAAGTGTTTCATGAAAACCAGCTGTGCTACCGCCTGTGATTTCACTTGGAGACACTGTCAGCGCTCGGCCGCTGCGGTCTGTCCTTGAGAACGCTGCAAGAAATAAGGGGGCTCTTCTCTTGGTGCCCCTGCTGTGTTTTGTGCTTTGGGTTTTGGGGAATGCATGATGGGATTGGGAGGAGTCTCTGAATTCCGCTTGATAAAACCATAATTACCTCCCCCCCCCCACCCCCCAACCATTCCTGTGGCCCCAGAGGGGTCCTGAAGTTGCTGTGAATTAGGATTTAGGAGACTCCCGCTAATCAATTTTAAGTGATTAGCCAAATCGTTTGCATAATGGGTGTAATAGCATCTGCTAATCAGTCTCAAGAGCCTCGCTTGACAGGAGCTTTGGGGGGAAGAAGCTTTTTTTTTTAATGTCGTTTCCTCCCACACCCATACACGCACACACGCTCCTTAAGCCTTGCTGGCATGGAAGGGAGAGAGCAAAGCAGTAGAGTGCAGTCAAGTACGGTATTGGTGAATCGCAGACCGCAAAGACGGTCTTGCTCTGCCAAGTGTGGCTGTGTTGTAGTTTTTGTAAGATGGCCTGTGTGGGCTCGGCACACTCATGGCAGAAACTGTTAATTCACATTGTGTTGGGTTAACACACGCTGCAGTCTCAGTGTTGATACAGCACCACGGGTGTCTGCATGAGGCACAGTACAGTCTTAGTGTTTTAAATCACTGCCATGCGTTTTGCATACATTTGGCATGCTCCGAGTTCACATTGGTGAGTATGGTATATTAAAGGCCGGGGCTGTTACTGTTTCTGTGTGGGGGCAGTCCTGTCAGTGGCGGCTTTATTCCGGTTTCATCGGTTAGCTCATGCCTCTTTTCAAAGCTGCTTTTGCACATTTATGTTTCGGATATTTTTACTGGTGCAATTTGCCTTAAGTACCATCTCAGGGGTACAACAGCAAACCTTCCCGGAATCTGTGTAATGTTAGCAGCCTTCAGGTTATGATACTGTCACAGGCTGCCCTAAACAGCAGCGTAATACAATATGACACGATATTCGTTGTTATTGTGCACGAAAACACGATATTACGTGTAATACAACAAAAGATAATACAGTACAAGAAGAGAACACGGAGTAATTTGAAGTAAGTAATCCGGGGTTATATTGGTGGTGATATTTAAAGCTCTGTTTGAATGTGATCCCTGTGTTTTGCTGGGGAAGGCAATGGAGAATTGACAGGCTTGGAGTGCTAACAAGAATTAAAAGCCTTTCTTGCATACGCCCAATAGTTTCACCTCGCTCCCTCCCAGCCTTCATTAATGAATGTTTCACCATCTAATTGGTTTATGTGTTCATTTGGCTATCTGGGGTTGTTAAGGAAGCTAATTGTTTTCCTAATGATTTCCTTGGCCCCCGCTTTTATTTCAGTTCATTTCATTTATTTGTTTATTTTTGGTGTCAAAGGATTGCCGTCGAATAAAAAGATCTTGTGCACTAGAGAGAGAGTAAGGCTGATGGGGTGTGTGTGTGTGCGCGCCCCCAGATTTACTCTGGACTACATTAACCTCGCATACCTCTTTGTCTGACTTTCCCGAAAGAAAGTGACAGATGTTAAAGGTAACCCATTAACCTGGCATTCTTGAACTGTTATTAAATAACAGAAGTGCCCTGTTGTGTGTGTGTGTGTGTGTGTGTGTGTGTGTGTGTGTGTGTGTTTTTTTTACCTTGGTAAGGCCGTTACCATGGATTCTGGCATCCCTTGCATCTTCTCTTCTTTTGTTGATGTTGGCCCTGAATCACCTTATTCTTCTCTACCTCCCAGTGTGTCATAGTTGGTTTTGTTTTTTTGTTTTTTTTGCATGCATTTACCGCAGTCTTTTCCTCTTTTACCTCAGTAAGTGTGAAATAACTTGCATGTTAACCTAAATTTCACTCAAAAGAATTTTTTTTTTCTTTTTTAAATTAATCATGCAACCCCAAATGAAAATAGAGCAGAGCTTAGGACCCCCTATCATGATCTCATAAGTAATCAACAACTAAGGATCCAGGGGATGGCTTTAATATTTCTTGTATTTTTCTAATGCCTCTGCAGCTGCCCTGCAGACCCCCAGGACATTGTGGCCCTGAGGCTAAGAACCCTCACTGGTAGTGGGTTATGTTCTGTCTTGATCAATGACAGGATATTGGCATGTTTGTGGCACTGTGAACGCTAGCTGTTCTAATGTATGCCTGTATAGGCACAAAACATTTTGTAAGTTAAAACTGCTGAATCTCTCTCTTTTTTTTTTTAAATGACGTGTTGACCATATTGCATCAAATTTCATACAAACGACATGCATCATGGTCAGTCATTTTATCTGTGAGGTTAGATTAACCTAGTCTGCTTTTTGACCATTGATGATATATTAATATTGTATGTAGGTTCTTATGTTTGTGTGCATTGGGCAGACTGGTAGCTCAGTGTGTGGTATTCTGCCTCAGTCCTTCAGGGTTAGGGGTTAGAAACGCACCTCCACTCTGTGACTGAGGTTTGCATGTTCTCCAGATGCTCTGGTTTTCTCCTGCAGCTCAGAAACATTCTGGTTTTTCTAAATTGCATACAATATGTGAATGTGTGCACCGTGCAATGGACTAGTATCCCATTCAATATGTACCCCCCCCCCCCCCTCATGCCCTGTGCTCTCTAGGATAGGATTCAGGCCTCCTCCCCCACCGTGCACAGGAGAAGTGTCTGGACGATGGATGCATGACGTATAAATCATTTGTATGGTAACTTATCCAGAGGGTCAGCCTTGCCTGCTGAATAGAGACATAGATTTTCGGTAGAGGGGGCAAGGGTATGGGTGGAGCTGGGGGAGGGTGTTTACCAGTGCTGAGTTTCAGCGTTTAGTGAGAAGTTTGCTTGGCCTTGTGAAGAAGGACAGTAATGAGGCGTCGACAAGGACAGCAGAATGGGAAGGGGATTTGGGGAGTCCTGTCAACGGTTAGCACAGCCCCCGACGCATCTGTGCACAAGGGCCTGGGCCTGCCTGTCTGTGTCGTGGCCCAATTAACTCGATTTGTTTCCTGCATCTGGCTCCCAGATGTCAGCGGCCCAGAGCGAACGGGGACTCTGCGTGTCCCTGGCCGGCCAAAAGCCGGCCTGCAGCCCCAGCACCATGTGGCACCTGTTATTCATCGTGTCAGCCATGTTGGTTAGGCTGTCTGTGTCCACGCTGTGTCGTGAATATCATCATGTTAGGAAACCTGTGTACGAGTAAGGCATATTGATGATCACCAGGTTTTTTTCTGTGTGACTACCACTTGTACTTGAATTGAAGGGCTGATGGTATATGGAGCATGACCAAAAGTGTTTGAGTGATTCTTTCCTTGATTGGTGGAAAACACATGTGTGTGGAAGTGTGATGTATGATTACAGCAGCGCTGTAATGATGGCTAGGTGTGCTCTAGCTGTTATGAGATGTGATGCCCTATGTGACTCACTCCCCAAACCTGACTCTTCCCACCAGCATGGAGGCCCCCAGGGGCTTAATGTTTGTCTTTGGATGTAAATAAGCAGCTCACAGCCTCTCCCACCCCCGCAGGCCCTGTGTAATTATCTTGTTGTCCCCCCCCAGCGAGAACTCGACGCCACCGCCACAGCGCTAGCCAACCGACAGGATGAGAGCGAACAGTCTAGGAAAAAGCTCATCGACCAGAGCCGCGAGTTCAAGAAAAACACCCCAGAGGTGAGTGTCGGCCGGTCGGGTGCCGTGCAGAGCCAGCCGCACGCGTATGCTGCATCACGTCCCGGCAGATGTGTCTGGGGATATCCCGCGTCAATGCTGCCATTGTCATCCCCCGGCAACGTGTCTCGCCTCTGGGGCATCGAGGTGGCGCCTGGTAGAGCGAATGAGACAATGGTTTTGTCGCCGCTTGCGCCTCCAGCCGATTTGCGTTGGTGATTGTGTGATCATGTTTACGTATAGACAAACACAATGGTGACACGCCATCCATCCCATATTTTTTTGTCTCTACCACACTCTGAACCAATTCCATATTAATGGACCAGTTAAAATAGCTCGCCCATTTGGTTAGGTGTTCTTTGTTATCCGCGTGGTGTATTTGTTTCATTCATGGGTGACTTTAATGATGGCCTCCTTAGCTTATATAGGTTTTTTCCCCGTGCCTTCTGTACTTGCCTGTTTTGAGTTTCTGGTTAGGGAGATGTTCCTAATAGTGAGCTGGAAAGCTTGTCTGTATAGGATGAGAATAAACAGTGACCCACCCTGCCCTTAATGTAGGCCTTCTGATGCTCTGCCATTTTCATGCCTACTATAACAGAATGTAACAAATAAAAAGCTCCCATTAAGTGGACATATTTCTCTAGGAGACATTTTTTAAGCACAATTCCCTCACCTGGGCTCCTTTTGACCACATTTAATGTTTAGACGCCATCAGAGCCTCTATTCATCTGTACCTCTCTCATTCCGTCAAGTTAGCATGTTTCAACCTGCATTAAGGTGCATTTTTTAAAGGGCACATTTGAAAAAGATCTTTAATAATCGCTATGTTTGCATGCAAGGTTAGAGTCTTTTAACTAGTGTATATCTGAGTTCTCGTCACTGATATTTGGCATTGTGTGTTTTCTAAATGAGTCAGAACAGTTTCCCCCCATTTCTTCTGTGCACTCCTGTGACCAGTAGAGTCCATCTCTCAGTGCTGGCATTACGACACGGAAATTGCTGCCTTGCTGGTTTGGCTGCCCACCAGGGAGCAGCCAGTACTGGGGGATTCTGGGGAAGGCAAATACTAGTTTGGTAATAGCGAAGCAAATCATCCTCCCTGGTGAAGTGTATCCAGACTGATATTTGGGTATTTAAGTGCAGTGTGATTTGTGGCATCTTAACTCACGGAAATGGAAAGGCAAGTGTGTCACTAAGAAACATGCCACCCCAATATACCCAAAGGTTTGATTTTTCGCAATTTACATGTTCAAATTCTCACTGCTTTCTGGAAGCATTAACAAAAGGAGTTCTTCGTTGCTATTTTAAATATTTAAAAATATTACTCTACGTAAATCCTCCATCCTAAGCTGGCAGCCGCTATTTTTTTCTGTGCTGAAAAATATTTTGCTAAAACAGTCTGGACTTTTACTTATTTTAGCTGCAGCACCTGTGTACCCCTTCTCAGAATCAATCCTGCTGACCCTTTTGCAAAACACTGTAACTTGCTGTATACAGCTTTGTGGATGAATCTGTCTCAGTAGATGCTGCTTTAACAGCCATTAAGAGCATAGAAGGTGTAAAATGAAGCTGATGTTGATCATTGAAGATGTCTACCTGGATTATAAAGGATACTCCAATATTTCATAGATGTATGTTACTTTTAAATTGCATACTTATATATTTTAAATGGTCAGTATTTGTTTTGCATCAAAATAAGACACAAGTGCTGAAAAGTGATTCTGTTTGCTGGCCCAATGTTAAAACAGCTACATGGGCTATGGAAAGTGCTCCTTTAGAGGCTCGTTTCCTGTTGCTTTGATTATTTTCAATAATACTTGATTTCATGTGTAATTAAGACAATTCATTTATCAAACCTTACTGACCTAATAGATGGAGAACTGTGCTACCACAAAAAGAACCTTTTGCTAATAGAATTGCAAACCCAATTCTATGGTTTGTAAAAACCTAACATTGGTCTGTATATTCTATCCGTGTTGCATTAGCCAGCCATAAAGCCATTATGCTAAAACGTCTTGTTACTGTCATTGTATGATGCATGCACTGTTACCAGAGGTGATGTTTGGCAATGCATTGTGAGAGTGTATGTTAGGAATCAGCACTGTATTCTGTTCCATGTGTTTCTTTAGAGCACCAGTGATGTGTTTTTGAGTGTTACTCCGTAAATATTAGCCTCATCACCTCTCTTGTTCACATCAAGCTGTACAGTAGTTTCTGTAACATTGGTGCGTCTTCACTTTAGTTCCCATTCAAAAATAGGTATTGCTCAGGTCTGGCCTTTTAGTCCAGCACTCTGCTTTTATAGTGTAGAAAATTACTTTTGCTTGGCCTTGTCCATGCCTGGACTTACCCCCACCCCCACCCTGCTGTGTCAGCAACAGCCCTGCTAATGTGCATTTGTCCAAAACAGCAGGGGAGGCTATGAGTTTAATAGAGGTAAACAGAGCCCCCCCATTCTGTTGAAGAGCCAAGGGTTCAATGTGTCTCATCCTTTCTGTTGTGGGGGGCACAACGGTGCGAGTTCTGCAACTCACGGTGCTTATCGCAGGAGCACTCTTTAATTAGGGTCAGGCGATCTCAGAACTGTGCAGTTGTGTAATCGGCTGAAATTTGGGGCATCGGCATAAGCAAGCGGATGGTAGAGGCTGATTGTGGGAAGGCTTGTCTGACATCACTAGAACCAGAATGAAGGTCTCCAGATTGTGAATCACCTTACTCTTTTTGTTTTAAGTCCAGGGCTACTGCCAGTCTGTCTTTTCTCCCCGCTCTGCTTCTGGCACAAATCTTCTGGCGTTGCGCCCTCTGGGTCCTGGGCGCAAATACCTTTTTAATCTCTCAGATGTTTCCATTTCAGCTTCCAAATGAACCATTTTGAAATGCCTGTCGTAGTGGCAAGAAACACCATGGAGGTGTGCTTATAGCGCAGTCTGGCCCTTCCAAGTCTCTGGAGCGCTTCTGCTATTATACCTTTTGATTGACCAAAATGCTTAAGCTGAGTCGATTCAGTAAAAATGCTACTATTAGTTAATCTAAAATTTTACAAGCAGATCTAAATGGGCTAATTGTACTACATGCAAGCTTAGCTGTTGCTTAGTTATTGTGACCCTTGAAGGTTGTTTTCAGTCCCTAGAGTGAAATCACTTGAGTCTAATTTCAGTGGCGATCAAGCACCAGGCTTTGCAGTTATTCAGAAAGCAGCCTTCATATCTTCACCTGAGGAAAAGACTAGAATCCATTTTAAATATGTGGAGATTGTCAGTAATTAAATCAAGGGTGTATAAATTCCTCGGAGAATAAATGTAATTTTGCTGGGGTTATATATATTATCCGACTAGATGGACTATTCTTAACTCTTTTTCACTTAGCAGTAAAACTGTAATGTGGGACCTGACAAATGGAAGAACAGCAAATGTTAGTTTCTTTAAAAGTAGCCGCCCGAGGCAACCTCTTCCTTTTAGGGGGCGGGGGGAGATCAGGGCCTATGGAAAGACAACATAGGTGTCAGGCTGGAGGTGGAGAAGCTTTTACTCTAGTCAGGGTGAAATTGCTGCCATTTTCCAGAGATTTAACTGGGAGATGATGGCCTAGCCCTCAAAGTGAGAAACTGGAAGATCTCTAAGTTTTTTGTAGATTTATTTATTTTTTTTCCAGTTTCTTTTTCATTTTGCAAAGCAGAAGTGAGCACCTTTTGCTCAAGCAGTGCCATTTCAACCCAATGCTGTCTGTGAACCCGGGTGGCTCACGGACTGGTCTATGAGGCTCGTCCCTGACCGGCAATCCTGCTGTTACATCTCATAGAGATGGGTTCATGAGGGAAATTCATGGGTCTGCAGACATTCCTCTAGGCGAGCAGGTCACAGGGATACCCGCGGGCGTGCAGAGGTTGCCTCGGCAGCCTCGTCTCCGTGCGGTGCTTTTACGAACTAGGAGTGACGTGTCGATCTTTGATCAGAGACCACTGCGCCTCCTCCACACCATAATTTCTTTCCCTTTTTTTTTTATCTTTGCAAATTCTTTACAAAGTTCCTGCACCGAAGAGTGTCGACGAATAAATGGAAAATAAAAAAAAAACTGTTTTGTCTCCGGATCCCCAATAAATCAGGCTCTTTTTTCCATTTAAAATGTCCAGGGCTGCAATTTATGTTTGAGCTTAATAACCCGTTACTAAATTAATCGTTCTGGGGTTTTGGCTGGGAGGCTCTGTTCTCGGGGATTCTGTGAACACTGTAAAAAATGATCTTGCCGTCTCTGCCCAGAACTGAAGGTACGAAAAAACATCAAGGGGTTCCGGCAGAGGGGAGGAAATTTCATCCTCTGTCGCTTCGAGCTGGAAATCTGCCTTAATTACTGCGGAGCTCGCTCTGTCTCCGAGTAACGCCCTCACTGTAGAGCTGTGTATGCTGCCCATCCATCTGCACTTCCACCGATATGCCCCCTCCCCCCATTTACCCTCGCAACTGTGGCAGAATCGCAGGTCCACTGTTGCGCAGGCGGCACCCGTCAAGGGTCATGATTTTCCCCTCAAGGCTGTGGGCTACCTTTGGTGGCCATTATTGTGTGGGTATGGTGAGTATGTCGTAAAGGAACACGCAAGATATTCTGCCCTTTGGTAAATGTTACCTTTCCTCTGCAATTCTGATTATCGTAAAACGTCACCTCTTCTGAGACTGCAGCTTATTACCGAAGCCTTTTCTGGAACATTATGCACTGGTGCACTCACCTACACCTCCCTGCAGGGCTCTGTTTAAAAAATAAAAGTGTATAAAATAAGTAACCTCCTCATTTAGGCGTTGCTCCGTTCTGCTGCTGCCGCCTCCCTTTCGGCTCCACTCCATCCATAATTGAGAGTCGAGGCTTTTTTAGGGAAGCGTTAGCGCTCGGGCCAGATGCCGGAAGAGTGGTGCCTGGGCCAGCTGTCAGTTGTCGCCTACGCCACCGCCTTCCCTGCTGGCGGGGACACCTTGACCGTTTGAGGGGAGACAAAGGCTTTCGGCGTCCAGCCG